AGAGTTCCAGCTTGTAGCCTGGTTCAGGTTCATTCAGCCTTTAAGTTTTTACGACAAACATTAAAACGCCGTCTGCTGAAAGGACAGGTCCGTTGGCTGGGCAACCATCAGTTCTACAGCTGGTCACCTTTTTGGTAAATGAAGGATCCGGCGTCGGGTGCCGACACAAGCCTGGTGGTGTTGTGTGCAACACAGTTACACGCCCGTGTTGGAGCTTGGTTCTCGACTGCGTGTGCAGAACAGAAAAGTCCAAACAGGAACACATGAACTGTTGCACTCCTACACTGATGCTGGATGTCAGCGGTCAAAAATGGGCACGGTTGAAGAGAATTGAGCAGCTGTTTAGTTCTATTGTCATCAAAACAAACCTGTTACTGGTTGTATCTTTGAATGTCACTTTGTGGCCGTCTTATGCAGCAGAAACGGTCCCGGAGACACGTTCTAATGTAGCTGCAGCTCTGCCTCTAACCTCTCAGATGAGCGGTTACGATGGAGAGCGTAAGAGCTCCAAGTCACACAAGATGATGGAGGACGGGAGCAGAGTGATAGAAGATGAAGGGGAGGCCGTTTAAAAGATTGATGGTGAGGGGAAGGATGATGGATGGTGATGAGTTTGAGAGGAAGTCGCTGTTTTTCTTTTTCTTGGTGATGATTCCTTCTCTTTCCCTCAGGTCGGCTCAGAAGAACCGCGCAGAAGGTTCCTCTGCAGACGAACACTTTGACTAAATCGACAGAAGTATTTTAACCCCACCACCACCACCACACACACACACACACACAGAATTGCTCATTAGTTCAGCTAGCTAGCATTGTGCACACTCTCGAAGTGCTTTGAGAAGCGACCGGCCAATTATCCGTGTGCAAAGCAAACCAGCGAATCTTCTTAGCTGGCCACCAATTACTGCTCAATCTGATATGGCCCACAGCAGATTTCCCTCAGCGCTGTCTCACACACACACACACACACACACACACACACACACACACATACACACACACTCAGCGTGAGTGAATGACAGAAGGCAGTTGGAGCCAAGGCCAGTCATGAAACAACCCCATTCCGGACTTCTGCCTTTAAACTTAAAACGACAGGAATATCTGAACTAAAGGAACTTTCGTGGAAAAACGACGGACACTCGCCTTTAACTTCAGTGTAATTACGAAACCACGATGGTTGAGGCTTCGTTTGTGTTTTCTCTAAATGCGCCCGAGGAAATAACAGCCCACATGTCCCTCAGCTTCTGCAGCGCAGACTCTTGGGACTCGAAGTCCTAAATGAAGGTCATCGATCTCCTCGTTTTGTGAACAAACATGTCTCGTAAGCTGTGTGTGCTGTAATAACTGATGATTAAAACGCCAGCAATAACTTTGATAATGATAAGCTTCAAATGGATTTTATTTATTGCTTCTTGTGACAGTGGCCTGATGGGGCGTGCGTGCTTCCACTCGTCATTCCTGCAAAGTCCAAAGCATCTTTGCTGAGTGTGTCTGAGACAAATGACGGCAGACTGTCAAAGCCGCTGCAGCGGGAGGGTCCCAGCAGAATGGCTGTCGGTGGGAGGAGAGTTCTGCTCAGTCTGACGAGGCTGACTTTGTTCCAACTCAATCGCATAATAGATGGATAAGTGACTCAGGGCTTGGTTCTTCTCCCTTTCCACCCAGATGGAATCAGATCACAACTCTTTCTAATCTTCCTGTTTCTTTGGGTTTTTTTGTTCACACTAAATATTTTACAGAGAATAATAAATAAAATGAAAATATAAAAACATGAAATCTACTTCAGCTGGCTAAATAAATGACTAACCGGGAGTCGAACCTGCGTCAGCTCCTGACAAAACGAGAGGAAAGGCAGGCGCTTGGGGCTACCAAAGCCACAACAACAGCACGCTTGTCTAAGACGCTGTTGGAGGTGTAATGAACTGAACTAGAGGAGCCGTGATGACACCAAACCCAGTAAGACGTTTTAACATTCTTTATTAGCCTGATGCTAATAGGAGGAGTTACCGGAGTAAAACTCAGGTACGGGCAGGGTCGAAGACAGGCGAGGGTCGTGGTGGCAGGCAGAGTCCTTGGCAAGGGTCAGGCGTGGAAACGAGGTCAGGAGGCTTTGATCAGGCAGGATGTAAAAAGGCTGGAAGATCTATTAGCAGAAGCGTTCAATAATCTGGCCGAGTGCTGGTAGCTGACTGTGGAATATATAGCTGGAGAGGCAGGTGTGTGGCATGAGCTTGATGGTGAGTTGGCTGTGGTTGCTGGGGAAACAGGGCTTGGCTGGAGCTTGATGAGGGGACCAGGTGTGATGCATGAAGGCTAATGAGGTGAATGATGGTGCATGGAGGTCAGGGAGCGGCAGGGTCATGACAGGAGGGACATTTTGTGCTAAGAGTTTTGACTGAAAGATCGGTGTATCCACGTGCAGGGGCTGTCAGCAAGTTCCCAGCATGCACTACGGGGTGTAGCATTAAAGTAGGGTTGGGCAATAAATGGGAAATTTATCGTTATCAAAATTTCTGACTCTTATCTGGAAAATTTTCCCATGTCGATAAATGTAATAATAAAAAAATGAAAAGGTGTGTGTAGGTTGGCAGCGTTCATGTCCCTTTAAGAAGCTGTAGCACCTCGAGTCACGTAGAAATGTGACTCAACATAAAACACGTGACAGCCCCATCTAGTGGGCAACTGTTGTTTCTGCGCATTCCTGTAGTTATCGTCCACTTATCGTTATCGAGGTGAAATCCTCAATTTATCGTGATATTGATTTTAGGTCATATCACCCAGCCCTACACAGTCAGCTTATGCTTGTATGCTAACTCAACCTGCATTGAACTAATTTCCGTCTGTATATTTCAAGCTAGCTGTGAAAGAGGAGGGAGGAAGACGAACACAAATTAAGTGATTAGCGTAGCATTCAACCGTATGCTACGTCGGACTATTGTTTTAGCCTGTTGTAGCATTAGCAGGGGTGTGCTACTATTGCAAATACCGATTTCCTGCTGGTATTAGATGATTTATAAAATAGAGCGATTAGCAGGGAATGGTTAGAATCAGGTGCATCTCAGCAGGAACATGTTGAAAACATGCAGCCACAAGGGTCCTCCGTTAGTGCTACATGCTATTTATGTATGAGGCGTGCTTTCTACTCCTTCCAGACGGGGAGGAGGAGCAGGGAGCCATAGGTCATACTCAGAAACTCCTCCTCCCTTTGATGACATCACACTATGGACCACAGCTTTAAGCCTGATTCATGCTTCTCCGTCTCCTGGAGAGTGTTGCAAAGCTATTCCCCACCAGGACAACAGAGGGCGTAGCGCTGTTCTGTGGTATCCTGTCATGTATCGGTCCAAGATAGTGTGTTTATATTGTGCTTTTTTGTATAGAAGAGACTTTTTAACACGGACAAATTTGTCTCTCATCCTCCTCCACCTCTTCATGCGCTCCCCACCTCTAAACCCACGTTTCCTGTCATTTCCATCCACAAATAAAACGCTTGCTGCGCATCTTTTCACTCCTCCAGTCACGGGGGAATTAAACGCTCATGTTTTTAGAGTTTTTTCGCGAGGTATTCTTCAAGCTGCTCCGTGTCTGCCGCTAGTTATCCTCGGCTCTCTTTGCAATGGCGGCGGTGTAGACAACAGCGGCGTCCTGACCAATCACAAGCTTGCGTTGTCCGTCTCGACGGACGGATGTTTAGAAAAGAGAGCTCGACTCCGTGCATCCTTGCGGAGCTCTCCAGCAGGCCCGCAAGGACGGGTAATGGCGTTGCGTATCTCCGCACTGACGCAGACGGAGAAGCATGAATCAGGCTTTAGATGTACATTACCACCAATGACGTTCCTTCACTTGGAGCTTGGTCTGTTGACTTGAAAATAATGGTTTCTGACAAATAAGTATTTAGTTTGAAGAGGTCATAATTTCAGGACATAACTTATTTCTTTGTCGTTAAATAAAAAAATGGGTCAAATGACTTTTTATGAATTGAAATGTTTAAAGAGCAAGTCCACCCCCAAATCAACTTTTTTTTTGCTGATAAACTATAAATGTGTCTAATTGTGCTGCAGACACGTGTGGTCAATAATTTGGCACTTCAGTGCATCTTAGCTAAAATTTAAATATTCTGCCTAAAACTGTCAGTGCTGCGCCGTCGTCAGGTAAAAACTCTGCAATGTATTTGAATTTAAATCTGCCACCGCTATTGGCTAAGAGGTATGCTATGATGTAAACTGGTACATTATGATGTCACAATGCCGTTGTGAGCATGTGTGTGTGTGTATTTGTTAGCGGCTCCGCCCTCTCGGTCTGCTAGGCAACAGCATTTGTTGCATTTTTCAAACATGAAGAGGGAGTGAAGTAAGTTTCTTGTAGGGGGTGACTTGCTCTTTAAGTTTAAGACTTGAACTTTACTTAACTGATAAGATTTGAGACCTAATTAGCAAAAATAATGACTTGGTGTCACTTTACACTTTATAGTTCCACATGCTAATCACCATATGAGTCCATAGAGATGCAAAACTGAGTGTGTTGTGAAAGTCTACCAGATAAACTTTGCATAAATCACTGTGGCATTTAGGAGACTGGCCTTACAGGAAGCCTCCACCATGAGCAAAATAATCATTTTCTAAACCTTTTTAACCAAAACACACATTTTAAAGCTAGAAAACACCTCTGTAATGCTGAAGGGTCGTAAAAATGCACATTTAATTGTAGTATTACATTTCTTTAACAATATGCTGATCATCCTGAAACCAGCCGTAATTGTGTTGCTTTCATACGTCGTGATTCTTTTGATAACTTGGTAAAAATAACATTAATTAGGATAAAGGATTATAATCAGATGTTTGCTTTAAAAAGTGATTAACGGTTAGTCTCTAACCGCTTTTATTAAATACCTGATTGGATTTAGTCACTCACCAGGAATAAGACATAATCCCTGGAACTTACCGAGGGAAAAGCCGTTGGTCTCGCTGCAGAATTGTGTAAAACTGCTGTTTACACCTGTGCAGGTAAAGTCAACGTGAACATCCAGTGGAACGAGGATTCTGCTGACGGCCTCCCATCCAAACCAGTGAGAATAGCGTTTGTTCTTGTGGTTCACGGACGAGCATCGCGGCAGTTCCAGCGCCTCTTCAAAGCCATCTACCACACGTCTCACTTTTACTACATACATGTTGACCAGGTGAGCCTGAAAGCCACTTCCTGCTGTGAAAGCTATGAAGTTTTATAAGTTTAGATTCTGTAAAGTGGTCCTAGAGGAAAAATCCACTTTCACCTCCCGTCCACCTTCATTCATAGTGAACTTAAAAACAAGCTTGTTGTTGTTGTTGTTTACAGCAGCTGGGGTGTGTGTGACCTGCTTTCCTCTGCAGAAATGGTTCCTTCTGAGAAAAGCTGGTTTATTACGTCGTAGTCAGGCGCAGCGAGTAGTACAGCTGGTAGAGTGGGTTGTCCAGTAATCAGAAGGCCGCAGGTTCGATCCCGGCTCCCAATAGAATGCTGCACACACACACACACACACACGCAGAATTTTTAGCTTCAGGCAGCCTCATGAAGCCCTAATGCTAAGCCGGCCAATCAGGATGCAGCTCAGTGGGCGAGGAAAGCCAGTGGGGGGGGTTGTGTTTGGCGACACACCAGGGCTCCTGGGTCGTTATGAGCCCAACAGTTGTGAGAAATAAACTCTCTAGTCCACCGTTACGTCTTTATTTATTATTTATTATTTAGCAGTTTGAACCTCCCAACTTGAGAAAGAACAGTCATTTGTGTTTTTCTTTCTGTTAGCGCTCGAACTACCTGCACCGCCAGGCCCAGGCCTTGGCTTCCCTGTACTCCAACGTGAGGGTGACGCCGTGGCGCATGGCCACCATCTGGGGCGGAGCCAGTTTGCTGACAATGTACCTACGCAGCATGGCTGACCTGCTGGCCATGAGGGACTGGAGCTGGGACTTCTTCATCAATCTCAGCGCTGCCGACTACCCGATCAGGTAACAGATGACCTCTGACCTCTCTTCTCAACACGGGCCAGCTGAGGAAACCTTAACGAGAGAATAGTTACACGACTTCCTCGTCGAAAATCAGAAATCTTTATGTGGAAGATAGTTTCCTTACAACAAAAACGCTGCCGCTACAATACCATCGAGCTCTCAGCCAGCAGAGGAAATTCAATATGCTCCAGCAGCCCGAGCTCCTGCGGTCGCGCTGAGCTTTAAATACAGTCAAACCAAACAGATCAATGAGGCCGAACCGTGCTTTCTCCAACACCGTTCATTCATACGCTTTCTTCCACGCACCTGCTTCCTTGCTTGCACTAACTGAATGGGTTACATGTCATGCTGATTGCTATTTAATTGCCTAAGGTCAATGCCTATTGACTCCTCAGGTCTGTTGTGAACCGGATGGTCCGAAAGCCATCTCTCCTCCCAAAACATTCCCGCTTAGGAGGCTGTAAAGTGTAATTAGAAGCCAGAGTCTGCATGAGTGAGGCGTGGAGGCATGGAAATAGCCTTTTGCAGGAGAAAGTATGTGACTAGTATGAGTTTATAGTCCTTCTGGGAGATGAGGGTCTGCTGGGTTTTTGATGCAGCTCTGCAGCAGCCAATTAAAATCCTCCAATTAGGGAGAGAGTTATCTCCTCTGCACAGCCAGATGTCCACCAGCTGAATTAAGATGAGCTGTAATGGTCACTGGGTGGAAGAGATCTGATGTCTCCACAGCTGGAGCTGAGATGCTGAAGCAAATTTGGATTTAGGTCATGGGTGGGTTCGGTCTTATGCTCATCCGGTCAATGACTGGTGATGTCATCCATCCCACCGCACGCGTCAGAAGTCACAATCGTTCAGAGAGTCAGCACCTGTTTTTGTAAAGTTGGGCATTTTTATCTCATGTGAAAGGAGTGTGTGTGAGTGTGTATGTGTGTGTGTGTGTGTGTGAAAGGAGTGTGTGTGTGTGTGTGGGGGGGGGTATTCTTCCCATTTTCTGGCTCCTCATTTGCATGGTGGTGATGTTGTTGAGAAAAAGGCTGACAGTGGTGGTTTTTAAGCCCCGTCTGTTGGGAAGCGAGACGATTGACGGAGCAAAAGAGGGAGCCGAGAGGAAGAAATGACAGGCAGAGCCAAAGGAGAGCGAATGAGCAGTTAGAGAGGAGGAATGAGAGGGAACTGTAAGTTTTGGATCCATGCAATATAAAAATATGGAAATTGCACTCTTGTATCATTGCTTAGCAAGTGCATTTCTAACCACAGCTTGGATTTAATCAAGTCTGCAATCGTGTGTTCTAATAGTTGAACTGGTCCTTTACAAGTGTCAGGTCTGGGTTGGGGTCCCTGAGTGAAGCAGCACCAACGCTCGAGTGTCCTCCAGAAGCTCACAGGACTCCGTGAGTTCAGCACTGCATCATCATGAAACTCCTAACACAGAAAGATGTTGGAATAAGCAGACCCCCCGCCCCCCCCCCCCCCCCCCCCCCCCCCCCCCCCCCCCAATGTCCACAGAGGACAGTCAAGCAGTTCCAACAAGAGGAAGTTCAGTCCAGCTCCTGAGCTTTGGTCCATCTAATAAACTGTTATTTATACTTAAATAGTACAACGTGTGTTTTCACCAAGCCCCCACAATGTGGCTCAAAAATTGCAGTTCCACTCTCATCCACTAGGGGCTGGTGTCAGAAGCGAGCAAATCCTCATTGACTCCCATGTTAAAAATACCAATTTCACAGCAGAAATAAACATGTTTACAGCCTGGTGCCAAAACATGTTTTTGGTTTAAATGATCTAGTTTACACTCATGACAACTCTGAGGGGGGTGAATCGTTTTCTCACTCTTCTGTTTAAGTGTATTAAAAGCCTAAAATTCTGTATAATTAATGAGCATCAGACCAATCGTGACCACAGAGCTAGCTCCGGGGAAAGGCCTTGGAAGAGTTGTGCGACACAACGAATCGATGACGCAATTCGTTGCCAATGCTTTTAGTAATCAATTTTCATCGAATTTATCGATTCGTTGTTGCAGCCCTGTGTGTGTATTCTGTTTTGGATATTTTTTGTGCAATTGTTGGACAAAATGATTTGCTGTGGCATTAATTGCACTAATAGAGCGTCCAAGGAGTCTCCACTTCATTTTTTTCGCTAAGTAAAATTATATTTATGTATTTTAGGTCACTGCCGAGCTGAGCTTAGATGTTAACATGTACTGCTTAACCATGAAATTTAAATGTGATAGGGTAAAACCCAGTGCATTTAACATAATGCTGCACTTTAGAAAATGGGTTGAAATATAACATGTTGGTGGAGCTGGGTTCCGACTATCGGCTTGTGGAGCTCTTGGGAGACCGATGTTTTCCACCCGTTCTCCCCTCCCCGCAGCTCGGCGCATCTCTGTCTGATCGCGGCTTCTGTCTGCTGCGTGGGCTGCCGGCTTGTGGAGCTCTGGGATGGAAACCTTTCCACCCGGTTGTCCCCAGCGGCAGCTCTGTGCTTCTCAGATCGCAGCGGAGCTTGTCTACTGTGCGGCTGCCGGCTTGTGGAGGTCTCGGGGGACCTCTGTGTTCCACCTGGTTTTACCCAGCGGTCAGCCCGGCATATCTCTGACTCAGAAGCTCTGGTGTTGTGCAGTTAACTCCGGTTGTAGCTAGGTTGCTACCTCCGTTAGCTTAGCTCCCACCTCCGCATTAGCTTTGGGTTAGCTTGTAGCTAGTTCGACCGGGTGTCCTCAGTTGATCCCAGCCTTTCCCTCAGCTCCACCTCTCTTCCCTTTTGTGGAATTGTCTGGGCTTGACGGAACCTGTGACACGGTCAAATTGGCGGTGGTGGCCACCTCCCATTTGGCCTCAAAAATGTGTTATTGGAGTCTATGGAAACCCATTGTCCAATATTTATATGTCGATGGTTTTCACAAAGACTTTTAGAGATAAACATGAAAAGTTTATGCTGATCAACCTGACAGACGGCGTCTGTTCTTCAACACGAGTGCTTGGAGTTTGTCAGAACTTGTAGGTTTTTTTAAGCCACCCTCGTCTTGAAGATCAACCTGAAGTTTCCAAATGGATGAAGGTCTGGGGAGTTTTTCGATCATGAACCCAAATTTTGATGTTTAGCTCTCTAAGCCTCTTAGCTCCGGCCCGGCGCTCCATCGAGCCGGAGAGACGGACTTTTTGAAACCATCCTTGGATGGTTGGGAGGGGTTCCTCCTGGAGAATGCTTAGGCACCATGTTTTCAGGAGTCTTACTGTGAGTGAGTCCACTTCTGTGGCTGAGAGCCCCCACCCCCCACCCCCCACCCCACCCCACCTGAATGCTTTACACTACTGCACCCTCTGATGACTTCTGGAGTTTATGCAACCTGCCATCACAACAGCAGAGGCAGAAAACCTGGTGACAGTCTAAATGTTAGGCCCCTGCTTAACTTTTCCTCTAAAGATGCACTAATTTTACTCACAGAACGGGGCTTTATTGTGAATGAACTGCAGTGTTTCAGTCAGGAATTTGGGGGGCTCCCCTGCTCTGGACAGCCTGACTATTTCTGTTGTTATCAATGGGAGTGGAGACGAGCATTACTTCCCCTCTAATTCCCCGATAAAGTCGGTCCTGCCGCATGGACGGCTTTGAAAGGCAATCTCAGAGCCCCTGACACCAGCAGAGGGGGGACCACAGAGGGGTGTAGTGTGTGTGCGCGCGCGCGCGTGCGTGCGTGCGTGCGTGCGTCACTCCAAACAGGCTAGAAGATGAGTTGCATGATTTTTGTGTTGGGGAGCTCTTTCCCAGCTTAATCTATGCACCCTTCTTGATTTTTAGCCTTTTAAATCAGTTGAAAAGACTTTCTGGTGCTTTTAAAAGTTTCAGCTTTGTGAGGCATTGACGGGCAATGACTAATCTGTATCACTTGGTATTTGTGTCTGGTAGAAGTATTGCAAACTGGCGTTTAGCCTCATTCCTGCAGTGGAAGTGGGTGTCCTAGCCTTCACCAAGGGAGCATCTCACCAGACTGACCAACAGCAGTGCCTGTAATTATTAGACACCCAAACACCAGATCCCAGATGTCCAGACATGACAGTTTCCCGTCACAGTTGAGCCATACCCTTATTTTAGTCGCCCACGTCTCCCAAAGTCTTTCTGGCTCACGGAAAACTAACTGTGAAGAGTTCCAGGTGAGTGTTAGACACCAGTAAACACACGTGCTCGGCCCTGTGGCTCACCAGGGGAAATAGTGAACCTTCAGAAATGTTTCTAGACATTTCCAAACTAAATCCTTGTAGGTTACTAAGATCGCATATCTCCTATGTCGCTTGCTTACGTTTTAAACACTTTCTTTGCAAAATTGAAGTAATTTAAGTTAGTAAACAGAAAAGTTCTGTGTTTATTTTGTCTCCAACAGCAGCTGAGTCTCGTTCTCCCTAAGCGCGACGCTAAGATGTGTGTATTAGTTCATAAAGTATTTGTTATTTTCCTGTATGCTGCAGCTATGGTGATTAAACATTGAGAAAGAGCTTCAGATAAGAAAAGCAAAGCTTGGGTGAAGTTGTTTGTTAGCTGCTAGCTACATGTAGCTATGTGTTGTTAGCTGCTAGCTACACGTACCTACGTGCTGTTAGCTGCTAGCTACACATAGCTACATGCTATTAGCTGCTAGCTACAGATAGCTACGTGCTGTTAGCTGCTAGCTACACATAGCTATGTGTTCTTAGCTGCTAGCTACACGTGCTGTTAGCTGCTAGCTACATGTAGCTAAGTGCTGTGAGGACAGCAAACGATCAGTACAGTACACAGGGCAAATTTATACCCTACAAGTTGTGTCAAATAATCTAACATATCTCTAAAACTTGACCTCAGATCTGTCCTGTTTTATTTTGAGAGACAAGAGAAGTAGCTGAAGAGTCTGATGTATAGCACAAGTATGGTATGCAAAAGGGTCATTAAAAGACTGAAAACTAATACAGATATTTTCTGAGGTTATACTTTTATTGCCAATATTAATGGTAGAGCGATAATGTCGG